ACATGAATTCTTCCTGGTTTAAAGATATTTAAGAAATCGATCTGTTGATAAAACACCTGTGAAATTGATGACTGCTGATGTGGGACATTAAAGTGATCAAGAATCTCATGTGGTCTGGAACCAAAATCCTGAACCTGCTGAGTGACGTAGAGTTTTGTGTAGACGCTGTTAAATCGAGACCGACTATCCGATGTGCCCTCATTTATCCAGGTAGACTTTTCCTGGAGATGCTCTTTAAGCTTTTGTTTAACACTCTCCACGACTTTATCTTGCTCCATATTTGCAGCTCTGTCTTCTCCACACTTCTTTCTGCTCCTGTCCCTTTATTGGTGGGATCCTCCTGAAGGGAATATAAAAACCTGAAAGCAAGAAAAAAAAAAGTCCTTTTTCCTGTAGTATTATAATGGAGTAATAATAATAATAATACATTTTAGTTATAGGCGTCTTTCAGACACTCAAGGTCACCTTACAGTAACACGTAAACATGCCATAAAAAACATAAGAAAAATGTATATATAGAAAACATGGTAGATAAAATTTAGACATAAACAGTCATAAAAGTATAAAAGCAAATATAAAAACTGAGCAAGGTGAAAATGGCCTAAGACAGATCAGGTGTATGCAATTCTAAATAGATGAGTTTTGAGACATGATTTAAAAGTGGTGAGACAGTGTGTGGTCCGTAGAGCAAGTGGAAGTGCATCCAAAGTCTCAGAGCCTTTAGTTGTTCTGCCCCGAGTACATTATATGTTCAGTGGATCTAGTTCTGGAAATAATACGAGCAGCTGTATTTTGAACTAATTGCAATTTATGGAGGGATTTATGAGATAAACCATAGAGAAGAGAATTAAAGCAATCCAGACGAGACGTAACAAGAGCATTGACAAGTATGGCGGTACTGTGTGGTGTGAGTGAGGGACAAAGACTGTTAATAGGGATGGGTACCGGTGTCCGGTGCCATGACCATGTTATTACATTAATGCATGTAAGGTAAACTAGCAAACACCGTCGTAGTTACATGCAGCTGTCTTCTTGTTTGATGGCAGATACTCCCTTCACCCTGGCCAAAAAGGCTAAAATGACCAAAGAAAAAG